AGACGTGGATGGACGACCTTCACGGAATTCGTTACAAAGAAAGGTTCACGCTGGAATTCGGCAAACCAATTTTAAACAGTCCTTGGATGGTGTTTCATCCCCAAAAGCCAAATGAAGTCGATCAATGCATTGTTTCGGAGTTAGATTATATTTGTAAAAAATCATTGCCCGAAAATTTTTACGCGAAATTTCCATTTTCTCACAAAAGTAATTTCTTTAAAATACTATGCAAACAAAACTAGTTGGCTTGGGTACAAACTGTCAACTGAATTATAAGTTAAAAACGTCTAATTTTACGGATGTGATAGTAGCAGAACATTGGCGCCACTGGAAGTATTAGATTGCAGAAACTTTTCCAGCAGTCTACATATTCTCATTCGCGACACCCTGTATAACTGTATGTACATTAAATTAATTTTTATACGGTTACATGCACATACAATATTATTTATCTATTATATTAAAATAATAAATAAATAATATCATAATATTAGGTGTAGTAAAAAGAAATCCATTATTTTCCCAATAGATGGCTTTAGTAATCTGTATCACGCGGGTGATTAGCAAGGGTGCTTAGCAAGTAAACTGCGTGCTAGTCGAAATGTTGCTTACTTCGGTAAGCATTCGACTCACTCGCGCGCGCAGCGATTCTGCGAACTGAAGAAGTAGTTCAATAAAATTTACCAGCGTGGGAAATGATAGAAATGTTCATAATGAAATCGCATATGCTAATAGAGTGGAAAATGGGATTATTGATGTTGTGCAAAACAAAACATCTTTGTCACTCTCAAAACAAAATATAACTGATTGGCTGAAAATTTATGGTCAAATTTTGTACAAATTACAACTGGCTGATAAAAGAGAAATTTCCAAAAATTTTAATTAATGATCCACATCTAGTTCTTGAGTCTAATTGTGGATCATAATGCAATTTTAACATTAAACTTTATTTAAAATTAGTGACAGTCAAATCAATGACAAATCAAAATAAATTAATGAAAGTTAAACGTTTGGCAATAAAAAACAGTTAAATTATAAATAGTAACATTCTTTGTATAGCCAAGTATACTATTTTATATTCTATTTTGATTAAAACAAATAAATCTTTTTGTAATGGCATCATTGTAAAATTTGACAAGTTTTTAATTTATTCCATGTAATTTATTCCATGAAATTTAATGCTATTTACTACCTATTATAAAAATTCATATCTACTTTAAAAGCCATAAGACAATTCGTATGATTACACTTTGAATAAATTTCTAAAGATACATACGTAAACTTGTACATTTAATTAATTAACGACAACAATAAAACGTGTAGCGCTGTTTCTAATAAATTAAATTCAATCGATATTTGGAAATAAATGCTAAAGAATTTTGTGATATGTAACATTTAATGGAATATACTATAATTATTTAAATATAAAAAGAAACTAGTATCTGATTTATATCTAGTGATTTTACCCTACATATGTGTAGTGTGTGTGGATGTGTACATAAAAATATATATACACGTACATCTTGCTTCAGTCGTTCTAAAAATTTTGACGTGATTAGTTGTTAGTAAATTAAAAATTTAACCGTTTATTGTTTTGGTTACTACAACAGAGCCGTAAGAATTGTATGTAAGATATTAAATCATCAAAATTTTAGTTTTATAATTTAAATTCAGGTCATTCTAATTTTACAAATATCATTTTCTTATAATTTATTAATCTGTTTTTGATATATTATTCTATTTCTTCCTTTTTACTTTTCATAATAGTTATCACTTTATTATAATTTTATTGCTAGAATTAAATTCGTTCTCACCGTCAAACGTCAAATAAGTTTTGATTATTGTTTATTCTTCACTGAATTCTCTAATTTCTATTTATCAGATTTTAAAATGACAAGCAATCATACGATTTATTTTTAATACTTCTTTTTTCATAGTCCATTAAATTAATTAATAACGTCGCATGAATTGCAACGTCTCACAGACATT